CCCCCCCCGCCGGTCGAAGCGATGCCGACCTGTTGCAAGGCCACTGCCACCGTCAGTGGCTCCCTGAAGTCACGCCCTGTTTCTTCACAGTGTAGGTGTTATCTCTCCCCCTTACTCTAAAACATGATGGCTTGTTTTGTGCTGCTAATGGAGTTCTGGTTTAACACAGCCGGTACTTTCCTGGGGCTCTCCTTGCTTCCCGAAGGCAATAGTAAGGGGTAGCGATGCTGAGGCGGGTGGGAGCCTGTCCCAGGTGCCAGCCCCTTTTTTTGGGGACATGGTGCTGGGGAGGCTCCGTGGTGCTGGGGGGGCTCCGATGGGGCTGCCAAGCACCCCCTCACCCAGTGAGGAGAAGCAGCCACCAGGAGAGAAGCACTTCCTTGGGCAAGTGCAAAAGTGCTGCTGCACTGGGAAGGTACTGGGGGGGAAAAACTGCTGAGCAGTTGCATCCCAGGGAGATGCACAGGCTTCATCCATGTTGTGATTGTTTCACACTGAAGACCAAGCAGCCCCGGCTGCAGACGTTACCAAGCTTTTAAATTCACCTCTTCTTGTCTTTGCAGTTGCTTGTAACTTGCCTGCATGCTTACGCCAAAGGTAAGAAACCCTCCCAGCCCCTGCCTCGTGGCTGAGTGTCTGGGTTGTGCCCCACCTCTCTTGGAAAGGGCTCAGTCGAGGCTTTATGCCGAGCAGAATCAGTACCTTGGAGGACACAGTGATAAACACACAGAGGAAATGATGCCTGGTTTTGCCCTTCCCCCTGCTTCTCACAAACAATGTCTGACCATCCTGCCTCTTCCAAACAGAAGCTGCGACCCTTTGCTTTAAAAGGAGTTGATCTCAAAGGGAGTTGGTCTCCCTTGAGCAATGACTCTGTGTAAGCTCATGCAGTGAGGGGGAGGTGTGTCTGTGTTTGACTCCAGCAAAGCCTCATTTTCCCTGGTGGGAAGCAGGAACCAAATGGTAAAGGTTTCGCCGGGGCTGTCCACTTGTGGCTTAACGCCTTCAAGTTGCAGAGCTGCTGCAGGTGCATTCTGTGTGGGGGTGCCTGTCTGTCCATAGCTTTTGCCATGATAAAAGGGTAGACAGTAATCTTTTTTCCTAATTGATGGGGGAAAAAAAAAAAAGCTTGTCAGGTGAGTTGAGGGACCTGATTTGGATGTACACATGGCTTGTTCCTCGGCTGGGTCACAACGCCAGCCTTGCACAGAAGTGTCCAAGTCAGTGGTCCGGGGGTCTAGGGCCACAGGCACTTAATGCCGGGTTTGGCTGTGGCTGTGTGGTGGATCTGTGCCAGTGATGGTGGAGGAAAAGTGAGGAGCCTGCCTGCAGAAAACGGGTGCCAGCTCTGCGATAACAGACAGACTCGGTGGGAGGGACTCCTCCACCTGGTAATCCTTCACCCCCTTGCACCTTTGCAAGGAAAAGCCAGTGGGAATGAACAGCTGAATCTCTTAAAAAAACAGAGCCAAAAAGGCTTCTGAAATGACTGCTGCCTTCCTGAGCACATCTTGTCTTGAACTGGTGGCATGGGGCCAAAGTCCCATGGGCAGTTCCCTCTCGGTGGGAGCTGTGTTTGCAGTGTTGTGACCGGTGGTTACGTGTGATGGGGAGGGCACCGTGCAGCAAGGATGCTCTAACAGCAACCTGCTGTTGCAAGGGTGTCTGTGGTGCCGAGCTCTCTAGCAAGCGTTAGCTGAGGCTCAGCGTCTTGCTGGAGGTGTCAGCGGCATCAGAGAAACCACAGGTGTGTCCCCAAAGCACGGAGCATTTTCTGTCAGTAAGCACCTCTCTGTTGGTGTCTCCACTTCTCTCTAGGGCTATGGTGCCTTATTGCCAGGCGATACTAAACAGGGAAGCAGTGCCCCAGGCTTTCAATTTCTGTGGGTTTTTTCTTCTGTGGTGGGGCATTTCCACAGCTGCCTGCATCGTGTGGTTATTACCCAGCTGGCTGGAGGCAGTCACCTGCAGCCCGAGCCAGTGGGTGAGGGCTTGGTCCGTGACGCCAGGGAGGTCTGCAAAGCACTTGTGGCACTGGCAGCGTCTTGTCCTTCTCTTTGTACCCAGGCTCACAAAGCACAGGTGCTTCCCAGCCACTGGGATTTCAGGCGTCGGACGCTTGAGCAGCAGGAGCAGGCAGCAATATCTGATCTCCCTGAAAGGTTTTAGTCTGCTGCTACTGGGGCACAGAGAACATATATTCCTGTGTCCCCAGAACATCTAAGACCTCTGTGCTAAACGGACTGAAATAAAAACAAAAATACACACCCCCTGCCCTGGTGTATTCACCTGTGCTCCTAAAGCCACATGGGAACAGTGCTGTCCTCATGGTGCCTTTTAGTAAATCACAAGAGTGTTGGCATCTGGGTTTCTGCAGGCTGGGAAGTCATCCATCTCCGGCCTTCTGGGGTTGCACAGCATGTTACTAATCCAGAAAGTACCTTCCTTCTCTCTCTGCCATGTCCCAAAAGGATCCCCAGTGAGGGTGTATGGCAAATTTGTGTCTCTGCAGTCCAAGGGCACAAAAATTCATAGGCTGGTGAGTTCATCGGATGGAAAGTTTCTTGGAGAGAGGGATCCTTTAAACACACTCTTGGAAGGGATGGAGGGAAAGGCACAGGGGTTCAAGAGTGGTTACATGACTTTGAGTAAAGCAGTAGCTTCTTCATGCTTTGCTGGTTTAACTGTACATTTAATGGCACATTTGCCTTTTTCTGCAATTTTGACAGGATGCAAGAACTTGCAAAACCCAAGAAAACAGCTTGTCCAAATGATCCCAGGTAAGGAGGTGCCCAGACAGCCCTTCCTGGGGACTGGTGGAGCCTCAGGTGGTGGAGACCCTGTGTCTTTGTCTTGCTTCTTCTTTCCTCTCAAGAGCAGAAATGGGTCTCCGAAAAACAGACAAAGATGTTCAGCATGTGAGGGGCTCTCTTCAATTTGGTCTTTCATTTTTTTTCAATTCACAAGCCGGACTAGGCTTGACCCGAGTCTTGCCGTTGCTGCATCTGAGCTGCCCCACTGAGATGTGGAGATGGTGATGCAAGGAGGCTGGACCTCGTTAGAGCCACAGGCTGCTGTATCCTGGAGGACACAGTCCAGCTTTAGGAACAGAGTTGCTGTCTGCAGGACAAGGTCAACCTGGGGCTTGAAAAGCCAGGGCAACACTGTTGATAGTGTCTCCACATTGTGCTCGAAAAAGGCTCCAGAAACCCATCACCTTGCTGTTCCCTTTGCTGACTACCCTGGTACCCTCTCCCACCATGGCTCTCTATCAGTGGGAGATGAGCAACTCCAAATTTGCCCTAGGCACAGGAGAGTAACCACTAATGTGCTGCAAAACCTCACCCACTTTCCATGGCACACCCTGACTGTAACATTATTATTATTTTTACTGTCATACCTGTGGTATAGTTAGGTGGTAATGGTGAGGCAAGAAAAATGCAATCATGAAACTCCCCCAGGGGTTTCAGAGATGTAATGAAATGACCCTTTCTGCACATCCACTGGTAGCTGTAAAACCAGACTCATCACTTGGAGGCTCTTTTCTTTTTGAATCGACAATGACCTGCACAATGTTAAAAAACTCGGTGCCAGAGAAGGTGAGTGCTCAGGGAATGGCAGCAGCACTTTATGGCTGTGGGGAGCCGTAGGGACTGTGTGCATCCCATCCTAGGTGAAGCATAACCCCAGCAAGCCCATTTCACAGTTCTCTTCATTTCTAAAATTTCACACCTTTGCTGTTCTTGCTAGACTCGTGTTTGGAAACCAAGAGACGATCTGGACCCTCTCGCGGGGTGCTGTGACAGCTCAAGTATCGCCAAGAATACTGGCACTGGCCAAGCCCAAGCGAGAGTTTGGCAAGCACCAGTGCAGGTCAGTGGTGTGGTAGCACATCCTGGGGCAGGAGGCAGCTCAGAGTGTGCTCGAATCAGGTGGATGTGCTGGCTTCCAGCAGCAAGGGAGCGGGGGTTGCCATCTCCTCCTCTGCCACAAGTGCCCCACAGGGAACTTGGTGCCACTGAGACCCACCTGACTGTGCTGGTTCTTGGAACAGGAGCCATCTCTAGCAGGGTAGTGCTGTGGGAGCGTAATCACCCTGAGTGTTTGACTTCCAAAATGCGGAGGAACTGGGTTTTGATGTCCTTTTATATCCTCATACCAGTTTCCTGGCTGTGGGAAGAGGCTTGTACAGCACATGGTGGTTGCTGGTCTGATGAGAGCTTTGGGTTTGGATCAGCCACCATAGGAGCCAGCCTTGATCTCAGTCTCCAGCCACACTGGACCATGTTTCTCTGCTATAATAAAAAACTCATGCTTCCAGCATAAACTTGGAAGCAAAGACATCGTGTCCATGCTTATACGCCTTGATGGAAATGTGTGTCACACCTGTGTGTACAGAGGGACTGTCTCTCCCTATAATGTTTTCTGTCTGTATTGGGGCTGATGCAGCCCAGCTAGGCACACTGGACACAGTTAGCGATCCCCTGCATCCTCTTGGAGCCTGACCTAAATCTTCAGGATAAAGGTTAGGAAGTGCTACAAACAGAGAAATTTTGCAGCATCCTGCTGGCTGGAGGGAATCCAGGTCCTTTGTCTTAAGTTAAACCTCTGCTATCACCACAGGGCGAAAAACTAGTTCATGTTTGGGAATAGGAGTGAGAAGTTATATAAAAAATGTAATACTTTGTTACTTGAAGCAACTCATCTATAGCTCTGTTGGAGACAGGATGATGGTTGCTAGTCTTGTAAGAAGTCCTAGCAATGAGAATGGACTTGAAACCGTGTTGCCTTCCTGGCTTCCTCTACCTGGACGGATGCTGAGACATGCATGTCTGTAGTTTTCTCTGTTCTGCAACTGTCATCAGTTCAGGGGCTCTCATCCTCCTGAGTGCTTTTGCCACTGAGTAGCGGTGTCCGTCTGACAGCCCTTTCTGCTCCCCTCTTTCCTGGTGATGCCAGGCATCTTCCAACAGTTGTGGCTGATGGAAGGCTGGATGAGCATGCACTAGGCAAGCCTGGGGAGATCCAAGAGCTGCAAGAGCACAAGGTGCTATTAAACCATTGAAACAAAGACGTTTCTAAATTGGCAGAACAACAGAGATGCTGCCGGTTTGTGTTGTGGAGTGGCTTCTTGAAATGTTCTAGTGAAAGGCCCACATGTTCAAAGCAGTGCTCTGGGGGTGCTTAAAAGAGGACTCTGCGTATGCAAACAGCATTTACCTTTTACATCATGAAATCTCAAGTGTAAATGCCCATTTTTTCATGGCTTTTCCACCAGTGAGTTGGAAGTGCCAACTTTTGTACACGCAGCAGGCATAGTTGTTTGTACAGACTTAGGATGCCATCTGCTAGCATCATGTTCTCTGCCAGTTGTCTTTTACTAACTGTTCTGTGTTTTTGCTCAAGACCCCTCTTCTTATACAGCTGCGGACGGGAATCACCGATCTGGGAGCGTCCCCTGCTAGGGGGTATTAGCGTCCCTCCTGATCGGCTGCTGAAATTGTCTGAACCTAAAAAGTGCCATGCTGCTTACCTGCAAGAAAGGTGAGATGCCAGAAAGCCTGTGGAGTGCTATTGTTAGGCTGTTGGGTCTTGTAGCATCAGCGCAGCTTGAAAGCAATGAATAGAGAAATAGAGGATGAGTACAACAGAGGGCAAAATGCAGAGCAGGGACTCTGCTGGGGTTAGGACCTCTGGACTCTCTCATGGGATGAATGGGTTCTACACTGTAAATGGCAACAAGGCAAAGCTTCCTTCTAACGCAGCAAACGTGAGGCTTAAACATCCCAGCTGCAGCCTGGTTTAACCAGCGTAGGGGACTAATTCGTGAGCACTTTGACTCTTTGCTTCCAGACCTCGAGATTCCCCTCAGTGGCCCGTGTCAGCAGCTGCACAGAGCTATAAGGCCTCCCTGCGGATCCTGGAGCTTTCCCGGCCAAAGGTGCTGCACTCAGAGTTCCAGCCACTCAGAGAGGTGAGGAGGTGATTGAGATTTGGAGGGGACAGTGGTGCAGCAAACTGTCCTGAGTGTGTGGTGTGGTGGGGAGAAGCTGTCTGGTTGTGATGGGATTTGTAATACTGGCAGAAACTGTCTTTTCAGAGTGAGATATCTCCTTTGAAAATGTCCCTGCTGAGAGGTGGACAACAGCCAGGCTGGGGCAGCCTAGAATAGCAGGAGAGCCAAGGGAGGCATCTGGGCTGCATACCCTGACAAAGCAGCCTGGGGAAGTGGAGAAACCCGTTGGGAATAGCCTGTTTAGCTCGTAGGGAATACAGTCATGTTTGTGGTTGGACAGCTGTGCTCCTATCTGTGTATATAGGGGGCATGAGCCTGCAAACACTGTCTATTTTAACAGTATTTTACCAGAAGCCTAAATTAGAGGCAAATTTCTGAACTTGCACCTTTTAGGCGGGTCATTGTTTTGGCAAGGGTGAAAGGGCTTGAGGCGATCTCAGTTTACACACATCCATGGCAAAGGCTTGGTCTTCTGGCTGCAGTCTGGGCTGGGATATAAGAGGCTGTGCTGGAGCAGGCCAGCACTAACCTGTGAAAAACAGGGGAAGAAGTCCTGTGCTGGAGCAGTAATCACTTTTGCTGTAGGAATGCAGTTAACTGCACCATCACTTTCACCTGAGTGTAAAATCTGAGCATGTCTCCTTAGCAGGGGAGTTATTTGATTCAGCCAGAAACATGAATATGAAAAACAGGAAGAAATTTCTCTGCGCTTCTACCTGGCCACACAGGCTTTCGTTACAGGCATTCCTCTCCTGGCTATGAGTGGATAACAGCTGAGGAAAAAAAGCAATATTGGCTAAGACATACAAATCCCATCAGCGCTAAAATTGCCTTAGAGTTCAGGTGAAAGAAAAGTAACTGGTGTTGGGAAACAAAGAGTGCTCCTTCTTGTGACCATGTCTGCAGAGGGAGAGTGCTCGGTGCTCATCTCTTTGGAGAGGGAGCATGTGCCTGTGGGCTGCTATGGATGAGCTCTAAGTCTGCGCATCCCTCCCCTATTCTGAACCCATGCAGGTGCCAACACAGGTCACAAATGTCACTAGAGCATCCTCGCGGTTGCAGCGTCTCGCAGAGCCCCGTGTCAGGAGCGTGACCTGCTGCTCTGAGCTCGGCCCTCTTGAATCTGCCATTCGTCCGGTAAGGCAGCATCACCCAGGACCACAAGTGGCAGGGACGCCAAGCAGAGCGGAGGAAGGGCACTGGTGCTCAGCCACTGGTTCTCTTCATGGCAAGCCTGGATGCGCTGCCATCTTCTTGGGCTGGAGAGCCAGACTCATCCTCTATCCAGAGCATGAACTGACTCCCAACAGACATCCCCAGAGAAAGGCAGACCTGTGCCTAGCCTGCAGTTGTGGGGATGGGGAGACACGGACAAGTGTCTAACTGGGATCTCCAGTGCTGGTGGATGGGTTGGACAAAGGGCTATGAGTGAGAGGAGGCTTGAGAGTGGGTGGTAGGACTAGCCAGGCAGTGATTTCTCCTTCCACAGCTTGTCTGGTACCAGACGCAGCTGTGGACAGGATGGTGTCCCACCTGCTTGTGGCCAGTGGCTGTGAACCTGGGTACACAGAGTTGCAGGCCGGTCAGCCTTGAATACCAGGAGCACCTCTAAGGACCTTCCTCCTCGCTCTTCCACAGGTTTCCGAGGGGGCTCAGCGGGCAATTGCGAGCCCTCGGATCCTGGAGCTGGCTAAGGCGAAGAAATTGCATCCTGACTACTTGCCCTTGCGGGATGTGGAGTGGCCAGTGACAAAGGCTGCAAAGTGCGCGGTGTTAACACCAAGGCTTGTGGAACTAGCCAAGCCTTGCAAAAGGTAGGTGCTTCTTCCCTGCCATGGGGAAACAGAACAGCATTTTGTGCAGGCAATGGCACCTTTTCGGTTTGGGTTTGGCCAGCGTGATGAAACCACTGCTCTTCCACTTCCAAAATGCATGGATTCTCTGTGGCTGGATGTGCTAGTGCTACATGGATTGTGGTTTAAAAAGCATTTTTGAGGTGGAAAGAGAATCAGAAGAAATAGGAACTTTCTACTTCTGGTAGGAATTACTGGGTGAGACTTCTTAATTATTAACTGAAATAATAAAAAGCAGTCAGCTGATGCATGGCACAGTAGCACGTTCATGTTGCCCAGTGTGATGCAGCTAACCTCAGCATGGGCTGCAGAAGGTGCTGAGTAGGATCAGAGGATCACAGAATGTTAGGGGTTGGAAGATCATCTAGTCCAACCCCACTGCCAAAGCAGGATCACCTACAGTAGGTCACATAGGGATGTGTCCAGGAGGGTTTTGAATGTCTCCAGAGACGGAGACTCCACAACCTCCCTGGGCAGCCTGTGCCAGGGCTCTGTCACCCTCACAGTGAAAAAGGTTTTCCGAATGTTTTTGTGGAACCTCCTATGTTCCAGCTTGTACCCATTGTCCCTTGTCCTATCATTGGATGTCACTGAGAAGAGCCTGGGTCCATCCTCCTGACATTCACCCTTTACATATTTGTAAACATTAATGAGGTCACCCCTCAGTCTCCTCCAAGCTAAAGAGACTCAGCTCCTTCAGCCTCTCCTCATAAGGCAGATGATCTTGCATGGAGGGTGAGGGAGTGCCTGGCTGTGGTTGTGACAGCTTCCATGAGAGATGGGGGATTCCCTCTCACTAGCGTCCTGGTGACAGCAGCAGAGGCATGACTGCTTTTGTCCTTCCCTGATGGGGAAGGGCAGTGTTCAGGTGGAGGTGTGCCAGCTGGCAGGCAGCTTTGAGAGCTGGTCCTGCTCCAGCCAGATTGACCGGCTCTGTCCTTGCTCCCTCAGGCCTTCTATGAGCTCAGTTCAGTTCAACCCAGACGCTTTCACAGTGAAGGACGCTGCTAAGAAAGCAATTTGTTCTGCTCGGATCCAAGACCTGGCTCGTCCGATTATGCGCTGAGCTCGCTCAGAAACACAGCCTGCCGCTCGTACCACCTGCCCACATCACCCCTCAAGAACATCATCCTTTTTGGGCAGTGCTCTGGCTGGAAAACTGACTTGAACATGGTGCAGAGGCAGCACTCGGCAAGGAACACTTGTAAGCTACAAGCAGCCACTTTTTACTGGGCTTATCTGAGGAGTTAAATAAAATGATTATTCCTTAAGAACAAAATGGTCACTGGGGAGAATGTGCAGAATTTGACCTAGTGTGGGAAGCCTCTCTCCCTGGGATGGTTATGTCTGGAGTTTTTTGCCCCTCTTATTTTTTTGCTGTAATATTTAAAGAAATAATGAAACAACTGCTGAGGGAAGCCAGCACAGGAACTGTTATTTCACATAAAAGAAGTGTGGCAAACCAAGGCCAACGGTGCACAGTAGGTTGATGCAACACAACTCCTTACCCTGGGTTTCAGAATTCTTGCTGAAGTTTAGAGATCATCTTCGCGACACTCAAAGTGCTTGTGACAAAAGTAGAAACACAAAAGTCTACAAAATACCAGATCTGGGACTGGATTTGATAAGGTGCAAAGCTTTAGTAAAGACTTTGGGAATGCTGGGGTGGCACGTGCGTTGAGTTGGCTTGGATTTGAGGTCTGTTTTCTCAAATGCCTGGAGAATGGGCAGATCCAGCCTTTTCCTTTGTGTGCATCTTCGATACAAGTTACACAGGTGGGTTAAATCTGTGCAGTTCAGATATTCAGTTGTGTGGGAGAATAATGGAGCCCTGCGTTGGAATTTTTGGAGCCTAACTCGAAAAAGTGAGTTCCCCTCAGCATAAGATAGAAGGCACATTGCATAGACTAAGCAGAAGACAAATATTGGTGCTGGACTCTGCAGAACAAACTCCTGAGCTCCAGCTGGATCTGAGGGTGAGTCAATTTGGCAGGTGGGTTGCAGGGGAACGACACAGCCTCTGTGGGACATGGCACAGGGAGATTGCTTTTATCTGTTTCCTATGAGCTTGGTGTGTTTTGCAGTGTCAGCCCAAACACTGGTGGGCTGGAGATACTGAGGTAAGAGAGCTACTCTCCAGCAAGAGACAGAAGCCATAAATGAAAGGATGTGGCAGCTTCAGTGCCCATGTGTCTTAATCTTACCTGTGTTAATCTGATTCTCCTTCTGAAGGAGTAGAGGCAGGTGACCAGAAGAGGATTAATCAGAGGATCCACTAATTGATTCAATAATCCACTAAGCAGAGGATTTCTGAACCCTTCTGAACAAGGTGAGGTCACTGGGCAACAGTGCTGGTTTGTGGGTTTTTTTAGCCAATGCATTGTCCTCTACCAGGATGGACGAGAGTTTGGGCTTTGTGCAAGAGCTCCAGCACAATGCGCCCCTCAGGCCTGAGAATGGCCAGAAGGAGGCTGAGGCTTGCCCCCCTCCATCCCTATGGGGGAACCCCTAGAACCACCAACCTGCCACCACGGGGCTTGGGGTGTGCATTGGGGCTGTATGGGCTGCCGCAGAAAGATGTGTGGATACCCAAGAAAAGGAGGTTGCCCAGGTTTGCAGGCTATCCTTGTGGCAAGAGGGAAACTCACAGTGCACACTGAGGCTGCCTTGGAAAAGTGTTATCCTTCCAGAGGTAGGAGTCTTCCTCCTGCCATTGGGGCAAGGTGCACAAGCAGGGACATAACACACCTCCTCTCATCAAAAAACTTTGGGTTTTTATTAATGCACTGGGGGAAAAAAAAAAAGGACTAGTTATTTCCCTTTGGTGGCCTTTAACGGAAATGTGAGCAGTGCATTCAAGGGGGACTCGACTTGATCTGATTATGGTGTAGGCACTTAGTTTGCCAATCTAGAGCTGACTTAGGCATCTTGAGCTAACTGAGACCACCTGAATAACACATCTGATTTTCTAGATGCCCTCCACTCTGGATGATCTGTATATTGAGACTAGAACACATGCTTCACCTCTGGGGATCATAAGGAAATCTTTTTTCCCTCTTCTATGCTTGAACTTTTCATGGCAGCTTTTCTGTAAGCTTGGGACAAGGGCATGAGATTGTCTTGCCCTGTGCAGCCACTGTTAATGGATAGGAATCACTAGACAGGTTATGCAGCCATCAAAAGCTCTATACACATATATCTCTCTATTTTTTTTTTCCTGGTTATGTACACTTTAAATAAAACTTATGTTAAATAACAGAGTATTACTTTGTATCTCAAAACCTACTGCAACAGAAGAACCCAAAGGAAACCCATCATTTACGGTAGACACAGAGATTGGAGCAGCATCCTTCAGTCCCTCACAGATCCGCTTTCTGAGGGCAGCCCTTCAGACTTCCTCCACTCTGCCAGGCGTTGCTTGAACCATTTCTGGAGGAAAAAAAAGCACAAAAACCCAGAGACTGAGTGCACTGAGCTGAATGAACTCTCCAAATAACCTTGCTAAAGGTGTAGATGTGGTCAGGACGAGGGAGCAGGGAAGGGAATCTTACAGTACTGCTATTTTGTAGCAGGGCACTGCCTTGCTCCTAGGCAGTACTGGCAGCAGGACAGCTGCTCCTGACAGTCTTGTTATGTATGTGTGCACCTCTTTCAAACTCATTCCTATTGCTCACTTCAGACCTTGATAGCATGGATGAGTCCTCATTTTATTGCTGTGAGTCCAGGTTTTCCTTGCAAACAGAATAAGAGATTGGCTAAGGAGCTGCTGGATGGAGCCAGTTTAAATAACTGGAGCAGCAAAATAATTGTTGCAGGTCCAAAACCAACAGAAATCAAAAGTTGGCCTGCTTCAGAAGGGATGAGAGGCACAACACGGTGGCTCTCAACAAATTTAGGAATAAATAGATGTAAAAAATGAGTTTAAAAATTATCTTGGTCTTGGTTAAAAAATTATCTTAGGCAATATCTATGGCTATGTTATTCTTAGTATCTCCAAGCCAACTCCCATAGCTGCTGATGCTACTTCAACACAGCCGCAATTTCAAATGTTAGATAAAATGCAAGTGGATAAAAGCCACACTACCTCCGTAAGAAGAGAGATCTAAGCCGTGTGCTGGAAGCACAGCTCAGCCTTTTGTTTGAAAACGTGCCTGTGATTTGCTTTGTTGCTGCTTGTTTGGTTGCTGTGTTTGTTCATAGCTATTTTTGAAGCTATTGTGGTTCATAACGATACAACTATGGTGGTGTCTGCAAGTGGCTTTCGCACTTAGCACTGCCTTGGACCACATCCAGTCAGATGATTGCTGGCCTACCCTCCTCTCAAAAATTTCACTTCCTGTCCTAAATCATCATCATCTGTTGACTCAGTACTTCTTTGCATCTAATCACTAAATTTTTTATTAAAATGGCTGCTATTTCTGACTGATAAAGCACTGCAGATGTCAGGAGCAATGATTCTCTGAGTCATACGCAATGCAGACACTTTGCATCTCACCAGTCTTGATCCTCACCCTAACATGACCTTCATCTCCAGATCTCTAGGAGGACCCTGGATTCACAGAAAAAGATGGCCGTCAGATAAGATTTTAAGACATCTCCAGAGGTGTCCTGGGCATATATGGCCTATGTTTACAACTTGCATTAGGGGAAAAAACATAGAGCAGTGCCATTTCTAAGAGGAAAAGTTTTTTCAGGGGTACTGCCTCTTTGCTGCCTCAAACAAGCAGTGGTACCTGCCTGTCACCAGCGTGTCGTAGAGGTCTCTTTCCACTCCAGCCAAGGACTGTCAGTGTATTATACCAGCATCCTTCCCTGGGAAGGGAAGCAGGCATTGCCTGCTTGGCTCTCATTTCTCTTTGGCTTTGCCCAGGAAGAGCCAGGCTTGGCAGCTCTCTGCAGAATGCTGCTAACTTTTCACTAGGTTGGATTTCTTTTCTATGCCCATCAGTGCTGCTACGGGTCTTACAGTAGCTTATAAAACATTTGCATCAAAACCAGCTGCACCACAACCTGAAAGAATGGGGAAGGAGCAGTTTGCTTCTGGAGCCCAGGGTGGCCTGCAGGTAGCTAGATGGAACACAAGGCTCAGTGGAAGTCCCAGACAGTGGCAGCCTGTCCCTGTGGATGGACATTTGGAGGCCTCAGTGTCGCCTGGACAGTCTGACAGACTTGCCCAATATTTGGGGCAGGGAGGTGCAGCAGTGTAGTAGAGCTCTGCAGGTGCAGGGAGGGATTAGGGGTGCACTGAGAATAGTAGAGGTGTAGAAGAGATGTGAGCAGTGTGGGGTGCAGTAAGGAGTATGTGGGGTGCAAGAAGTGCAAGTAGGGAGCATATGGGGCACAGAGGGGTGCAGTGTATATGGGTAGCATGAGAGGTGCAGAGGGTGCAGTAGGAAGCACATGGGGGGACAGAATGGTGCAGGGGGTATGACAGATGGGACAGGACAGGCAGAAGATGCAGGGGGACGAAGGCATTCAGGGAGAGCAGGGCTTGTGTAAGGGGGACGAGGGGTGCAAACTCACCAGGGTCTGCTCCTCGGAGAGGCCGGTCTCGGCAGCGATGAGGCACAGAGTAGCGGGGTCAGGATGCTTGTTCACCTTGCAGAAGTTGTACTCCAGGATCTCCAGCTGCTCCTCGGTGGGAGTCACTGGCTTCTCCGTGGCCATCTCCTCCTGGGGCAGGGCTATGGGGCCAGGCACTGCAGAGAGGGGCCAGCATCATTTCCCAAGCTGGAAGCAGCTGGAGAGGCCACACGTGCTGAGCCCTGGAGTTGCCATCCCTGTCCCCACCAGATCCCCCCTCCTCCATGGCCTCTGGTCACGGCAGGGCACAACTCCCTTCCCAAAGGCATGCTGGGGAGCTCAGCCAGAAGCCTCAGCCTCCCCCAGCAGCTCCTGCCTCAGTTTCCCCACTGTGGCAACCGCACACCAACAGCACCCAGCTGAGCTGTCTCACCATCCTTAACTGACAGGAAACTGCAGAACGTCCTCCGCTCAGCATTCCCCTGTTGCTGTATTTATAGCCAGCGTGACTCCTGTGGGGACAATTCCTGTTTACAGCCGTAT